GTAGCCACATGTTGATAGAGTACATTTTCATGCTCACATGAAAAGATTTAACTTGTACGAAGAACAAATCACGGTCTTTTCGATCTACATTCATTACACAGTCCATGTTTTCATAGATATCACGATGATAGAGTACGAATTATTAATTACTTCATAACACAATTTCGATAACTACCAAGACATTCAGCCATTCATAAACAACCTCGTATGTAGTAACTGTAATTGTTTTTTTATGAACACATAGCCATGGTTAACCATTCTCAGTGGTTCACCATTGACAAATAATTAACAAACGAACTCACTGATGCATAAATTCAAGTAGATTGTTTAGAACAGTTCAAATGTAAACGTAAGAGGTTATTATAAGTATGGATGATGACGTGTTTTGTAAGATGTATCAAATGTGTTACAAAAATGTGTGTAAACATTATTGGTATGCTCACCATTTAATAATAGCTCAAGATCGTTTACTTCACTTGTTTTATGCTATATATATACATTCATGTATAAGCATGTCAAACATTTACATCACATTTTACCTAAGCATTTCCAGAATATGTTCACTATCGTTATACAAACATTCTGTTAGGGTAGAGATGTTTGGGTTTATATAAGTGCGAAATGAGGCTTTGGAATAAATCTCAACAAAAACTTAATTTTAACAAGGAGTTATGAATCGTTTGAACACTAGAAACGTAAACCTTTTCAGAGCTTACATTGTCTTTGATGCTTCGATTTACAATGAAACTTCAGGAGACATATTGGAAAGTTATTTAGCCATTTTTTAATTTAAAGCAACTGCCATACTGGCAAGATATCAAGCCATTTACGGGGAAGCTAATATAATAAGAGACTTATCATATCTTATTCTCTGTATATAAGAGACAGTAATTGAGGGCATGAAAAACGAGGTTCAAGTTATTTTATCACGGGAGTCTTCAATGTATTATTGATTTGTGGCTACATTAAAATCTAAAACACAGTTAAATTAGTCTATACTGTAAGGTAAGAGCAACGGAATCACAGGATATTATTAGTTCAATTGGTAGAACACTGCTAATCCAAAAGATTTCGCCTCCCGAAAATGAGTCTTGGGGTGTGCTCACACAGTAACTACAGACTTCTAGTAAAATGGAGCAAAAATAATCCTAGTACAGAAGATTCACTTCTACTCACGTTCCCATAAATCGCTTGGTTTTAACTGTAATTTTTATTCATTTGAAAGCAGTTCTGTTTTAACAACAGTACTATTTTAATAACAATGCATGGATGCCATTGCCTAGCGGTTTTCCACTTCGTCCACATATACTGTTTCTGGTATTCCCGTAGCCGAGTATACTAAGTTTTGTTAAGCCGACCATCTGCCTATTTGGCGAGTTTTCTTAATTAAGTGAAAATGTATGTTATATTAACTCAGTTAACAAATACCAACATCATTTCATTGATCATAAAAAATGGATTATGCTTCAACATGATTGACTAAGTCGCGTGAATACACTATTACTTCCGCAACATCAATGGAATACTAAAAGCTTCATATGCTGCATGGATACCTTAACCATGGGTCACAAAATATCGATAGTTCCATCATCAAGAGTTTTATCTTTGTTTATATTGGACCTAAAGGCTTTACTGACTTAAATGAAGTACAAGTCTGACTTTAAAACTGGCAAAATAGAGGTATTTAGTGAATTGCTAATTATTTTTATAATATTACTGATCACGCATTTTAAAAATTAGCCAGGAAACTATGACTGATACACTATGAACTATTGTGTAGTAAAATAAAATTAATCGACTGCTGGTTCTTCATTTTAGTTGTAAGGCTTTGCTAGACATGGAAAATTAAAATCTCAAGTCGCATACTTGACACATTACGAACACATTTTCTCATTATTTTCAGAGATAAGATGTGAATAAAAGTACTCCATGAATCTAGTATTTTATAGAAAGACTTTTCTTTCCTCAAATTTCTAGATATCGAGTACCTTGACCATTTAGCCGTATTTATCAAACAATACTTTTGGGAGTAAAACTTAATAAAATGAGCGTTTTCTCATCGAGGTATAACAAAACAATACACATTAGCCCAACATTTGCTATTTTTGATGAGAACATAGTATACTTTTTAAACTGACTGATATTTTAGAATAGACGCAAAGTAATAATCGAGTTACAAAACTTCTGTAAATGAGACGGAGTGTCCAGTTAGTTGAAGACTGAGTAGCATTAGTTTCACTTATCTCGGCTCGTAGCAAACATATATATGTTCAGGTAGTAGTTAATTCATATGTTCTATTTTCGACGGATTTTGCAGCAAAACACAAGTTTTATATGCTATTTAAAAGTTTCTCACTTGAATACTTCTTACTCTAAAATATATTGTGTTACATCCATAAAATAATATTCCAAGCTCACTAGGAAACGATATGCATTGATCTCCTTTGATATTTCAAGGAGTAGGTTACGTTCTAGATAACTGCTGCAAGTATCTGTTTTTGAAGGTCAGTTTTCAGTTCTATGCAGATATATGTAATGTTTTTAGTTCATGGTATACTAGGGTATTAGTTTTATTGAAACAATCAAACCACCTAACCGATCGTGAGCAAAGTATGACCTGACATAGAAATATATCGACCCAAGTTGTAAATTAATGTCACGAAGTAACCACGAAGGGTGTCAACGCAATAAAAGTAATGTTAATCTTAGTGATAAGAAAGACTGTGCGTAGGAAATATGAACCAAGAAAGAGAAACTGAAAAGCTTAAATTAATTTTGAAGTTTAAAACCTAATAGTAAACAAGGATGAGTTGCATCTGCTTGATTACGACCAACTCCTGCCCATATCACAAAATACCTTCAATCATAGCTACAGTGTTTACCCAAACCCCAAACAAGTTGTCCAAGTCAGTAAAAGTTCTTTGACTAAACAGTCATTGACATTGTGAACTTTCTTCGTTCGGCATTTGTTAACTTTCTTCAAACCTAGTTCTGAACCATTCGAAATCTTCAGTTGAGACAAGAGGCGATTCAGAATACTTAATATAAACCCAAGCCACCTCAGTCACCGAGGGTTTCCAGCTTTGTCAATTCGTCTGCCCAATTTTTAGCACACCAGGAAGTTTTAAATCCCCTCCGAACATCTTGAATACAATTAGCGATCTGCCATAAATCGTTAAAAGTAGCCTTTATATATATATTTGGAGGAGATTATCACGTCTCCCAAGATAACAGTTAAGCCTTGGTCCTGTATGTAAACTATTCAGAACTAAACTTTGCACTCTGCGCCATTCGTCTTTCATCTCCGAAAACCCAATCAAGCTCCGCTTAGAATGACAGACTTTGAATATATCACATATTAACAGTATGAAAACATTTGTCCTGAATTCACAAAACAATAGAAAGATCACTAAAATCGTATACACATAACCGGCAAATATGAGAAGTAATTTTGAACCACAAATCAAACATTTGTCGGATTATTAAAGATTTGTGGCTAGATTTTAAGTTTCCCAAATCAAAACAACTTTTCTTGATATAGACCTTATTGAGATTTAAAATTTTTTTCAATAAATAAAATAGTTTATAAAATACATATAAATATCTTTGTTAATGATTTTTCGATGAAAATTAATACTTTCTCGTGTATGATTTAGCCGCGATTTTTATTCTAGACAGTATCTTCTACAAATAAGTTCTCTAGTAATGAAAAATTGCATTTCCCGTCAGACCAATCTAATGGAAAATGTTGTGGTTAAGAACACACTTACATATGATTCCTGCAAAAAAATTTTTCAGTACACTTTGAAAACAGAGCACCAATCTAATCTGAATGTAATCTTAAAATATACGGACATTAACCGATCGACGCTTACAATAAAACATAAATGCCTAGATCCCAGGAAACCATGAATTCCCTTAAACCATTTGTGCTCTTCTTTGTATGTTATACAAAAATCTAGACAACTAGAACGTCACCCTTTGTTTAACCTGGAAAGGATATTTCCGCCAAATGAGCCTTTTACCCAAAGCAAAAAGATATTTTTCTACCTCCTGTGAATTATTCGATTATAGAGCTACTTCGAATACTGCCCTTACTCATGGGTCAGTCTACTGCCACAAAAAGTAGAAATCTATCAAAAGACTGGCCGATCAAGTTTCAGCGTTTTTTTAATTCTCTATTATAACCTACCGTTCAGCATCATGAAATCTCACGCTTCGCTAACGCAATGATAACAAATTGCTATTAATAAGTTATACATATCTTGAGTTGTTGTCCTATTTGTAGGACACTGAAGATGAGCTACGGCAAATGTATCACATCTCGTTTATTCTCGTATACAGGAATGAATATGTGTTGAAAGCTGCGTAAATGCAAGTCAGAATTTCAATTATAAGACATACTACTCACTGAAAAATGTTTAAGTCAAATAAAAATGGGGCTTCTGGTTTAAAATCCGAGCTTTTCCACTTAACGGCAAAATGTAACCGTTACCACAATACTCAGTATTTGACAACAGAAACGTTTTCCGCTTAGTTATTTGGCCAACAAAATGTCCCTGATTTTGACCAATTGTTGTGGAAAGGCTTTCATTATTATCTTTTGTAATATCTTTATTTGAAGTATAAGAATTCTCAAGTCACTAGAAACAACATAATATATCTAAATGTTTTTCAGCTAAATTGCAGATAATAACAAATAAGTTATCATATAAACTCAAAGAAGTTTAAAAGTTACAGAATACGCTTTTCTCACCTTTATATATCCAACTGGGTCCAAAAGTATATTTTCTGGTTTCAGATCTCGATATATTAGGTCAAGATAGTGCAAGTATTCGAGAGCTAATATGACCTGGCTTGCGTAAAAACGCGCTGCAGACTCACTGCAATCAAAAAAATGTTAAGAACAAAATCTACCTAAATCGGCCCTTTCTTCGCAAATAAGAAAACATTTCACCTCCAGAGACGTATTCCAGTCCTAAAAACAAGTAAACTTCATTCTACTTACTAGTTTTATAAAGTAACATACAAACCTTGAAACTATATTCCAGCCGGATCAGAAAAGGAAAATCGATGGCTTGTAAAATCCTCTTCTCATTAAGTGTGTGTTGAACTTGTTTAAGTTTTATTATCTATTTCGATGGAAAAATTTAGAGAAGCCACTGATACTTTTGCTTTGTCAAGGATTTTTAACGCGAAAAAGTTGGATGTCTTTTTATGCTGTACAAGCATAACACGACCAAACGATCCTGTGCCCAAGGTTCGCAGTTGTTTAAATTCATCTAAAGACGCTGGTTTCTTCAACAATTACATCATATATTGTTTCTTTACTTTAACGGGATGTTCATAGTTTTCTAAGTAGTTGCGCTTTGCTGTCTCCAGATACTCAGCGACTACGAGTCAGGGTAACATCTCAAAATCAACATACTTTCTTCAGAAATGCATTTTCTTGCGGCATGAGAATTTCCCATGTGTCAAAACGAACTACCAGCGAGAACAAAAATGTATAACATACCACGCGGTTTATTTTTGTATGTAATTGACCTTCGTTCTGCCACCTCAGTTAAACTAAGAATTTTCTAATCGTTCGATGACATGTAACCAAGTTTTTTTTATCTGCTATAGCTGGACTGACCAGAATATTGCTAATCATTTGACATATTCTTATCAGGCTTTCCGCCTTTGTTTTCTGAATAACGTCGGTGAAATTACACTGCACCTCAGGCTGAATATATTTATACCATAGCAAACTTAAGACTGAAAGTTGAATAACTTGACTAACTTTATGAACACCATAGATTATGAACATCAAGTGCTCTGTTAGCAGCATGATTACGAAAAATGAGATGGTGAATCTGTAGTTTATATACACAGAAACAGTAAATTCTACTTATTACGTCATATCACTAATATGCTTATTTGTATCCTCCGAAGGTACCAAGAGAGTAGAAAAACGTGGTCATCACTTTGGAGAGAGACAAGAGAGGAGTTCATTATTTAACTGAATCTCTTCTCGGTTAAGCATTTATAATATTTTCATTCAACTGGAGAGGATGGGGACTGTTTTTTGATGAAGACATGTAAGCGAAGGTGGACAAATATCCACATACAGTATATTTTTTGAGTACATTCTCATGTTCCTAATTGTCATTAATTTAGTAGAAGTTTGTCTACAAAAGCGGAGGTTCGAAATAGCATGAGATTATAATAGGAAACCCTATAAGGCATACTGTTTCCTCACTAAAAACTTTGAGGTTATTGTTTTGTCCACTTTAGGAGCTAGTAATTCTCAAAATCAACGACCGTTCGCAGTTAACTAAACAAGCCTGAATTGAAAAACACAATGGTCTAGTTACACCTCGCAATTTAAACCAACCAAATTATTATATAACATTAAGAACAATCATGACGTCATCATGAATTCTTTTTGTTCTAAAAAGCAGAGCATTGTGATTTGTTGACCATATGACTTAAGTCGAAATTACATAATTATTTGATGACTTGTGTGCAGACAGACCTAACTTTTTGAAGGGAATAAGATACTCTGGGATTTTTATGCTATTATTGTGGCCCGACATCATCATCAAAAATTATGTAGAAGTGTCCACAACACATCTGACAGTACTTCTTCGTCACATCAAACATACGATAAGAGAAAGTAAAAAAACTAAAATATCTCAATCTTTATGTCAATATGCCTCAGGTATTAGGAGTAACACCAGTAACACCTATTATGAATCGTACCCACCAAGTGAAACCAAAGGACAGAAGAGAGGAGGTTCGAAGATAGATTAGATAGGCTATCAATGTACCGGGGATCGACTGATCTAATCTGGCTAGTGATCGCAGGAAATGTTGAGCACGGCGTTCGCGCTCGTGATCTGGTACAGATGCATAACTGAGAGCCTTCAGCTGAGTGAGTCAATTGTCGAAGACTGATAGAGCTACTTGTTTTAGGGATTTATTTATCGTTACACCTTCTTCATGCATATAGATCCTGTCGGCTCTTACTGACGCGAAACCTTCAAAAAAGGATTCCATACTGTATATAGAATGAATCACCCAAGTTTCTGTGACTGCGATTACATCCGGTTTGGCAGAGTTTAACTACTTATTGTACAAGCTTCGGGCATCTGTATAACAGATCAGAAGCCCATTTAAATGGTTTCGTGCTGCACCCAGACTGGTTTCAGAAACATTCCTATTAGCAAAAAGGATTTTGTTTGTTTTTGGAATAAATTTTCATTATAAGTTCTTTATTATATGTAATATAAAGGAAAGCCCAGATGAAGCAAACTGTTAACTGGTGTCTTACGTGCGATAGTCGCTTAAAAGTCCTGGAAATCTTAAACTTCTTCCAGAATGCGCTGTTTTAAGTTTATTTTCCGATACTGCCGAAGTATCAACGTGCGTGTTGGCTGTCGCATGAAGTTTTATAAGTGTTAGAGCCAAGTTGTTCGACTGTACGATGGAGAGTCGATGTGGATAAGACTTCCTTTTTATAAATACGCAGCTTTAGGGCGATCGATGCTGATACTATCGTTAGTTCCTTTCTTATCGACTATATAGTACTTGGGTTCACGTTGAAGAACTTTGAAGGGTCTTTCGTTGTTCGCTGTCCTTTTTGTTCTATCGTTACCATGTTGGATAACATGGTGCTCAAATTATGGAAAACAGTTTTCTGCTTTTCTTTTTAACAGATCAAATCCACCAAGAGTTAAACATTGACCATCCATTTTTTAGCTTAACCATAAAGCTTTTTTTATCACGCAGAGTAAGGGACTTCTGATGAAGAAGAATCTGGTGTTTGAATGAACTAATGATACCTTTGTACTTGTTGAATGCTTCATTTCGAATTCCAAATGAAGTAGGCAACGCTCCATGTATATCGCGACACTTTTTGCGCTACTTTCTTATTTCTGCTATGTGCTCAGCCAAAATTCGAAATGATTTATAAAAAATGTGAAAGTTTATTTTCTATTTTCACAACTAAATGAAAAGGAGTTTTTCCCTTTTGCGGTACATGGTATCGCGGAGTCCTTGAAAATTCATTATTCAGGTGCTGCTTTAATAGTTTTTCCGTATTTGCGTCTCAGACTAGCAAATATTTCCCCTTAAATTTACACTGAGGGTAGAGAAATATTTTATTTTTATAAGAAATAACATAATCTATGCATATATCGTCACCAAATTGTTTTGTCGTCAAAGCTACCAAAACTGCGCACCAAGTAACGATACCATGATAAGATTTATCATTTTTCCCTTCTTTATTGCAACTGGCTTATTTTCACTGTCTTGTCCGACGTTTATGGCAGAAATAGGTAAATAGTGAAAATATTAGCTGTCCTGAGTGTTGCAAACATTTATATAATATATATATATATAATCATCTATAGATGATTATAACACATACCAAGATAATATTGCCTTCTGCAGTTAGATATATAAGCCACCAAATAATTATATTGCAGGAAACAAATCATAATCATTCGGAAGAGGTATAATTGTTTGAAGATTATACCCGAGACTAAGCTAAGATAGCTTTACTTTCTCTCGTACAGAGTTCCAATGTTTAGGCTGCCGGTGTTCTTGCAAAGATAGCTAATAGCAGAAATAAGTAATATTATAATGCGGTTACGAGGAAGCACTGAAATGTACGATTTTCTAATAAAGATATCTTAGTCTCAGGTGACCAGATTGTCCGTAATCATATATGATGATCTTCGAAAATCAATCAAGGCGTGTCTAGCTTACGTGCTGATGACGGACTTAAATAAAATTGGGCATCAGTAATTCCAGATTACACAGGACGATCCAAATCAAGTTCACATAGTAGTCTTTACATATGTTCGTTTTCTACGTTTTCGAAGTGCAGCTTTTCCAGAGAAAGAAATAACACAAGCCATGAATGTTGCTAGCCAGACTTTCCTAAGCAACGCAGGAGATAAAGTAAATAAACGTGGATGGCGATCCAAAGAAAGTGTGCTAAATGTACTTTCAATCTGTAATTGAATAACGCTTTCTGTTTTTATGTTAGTTTCTGGTCAACATTTATACTGAAATAATTATTTCCTGTCTATTTTAATTCAAGTGTTCACAGACCTAACTGGAACTTTTCAATTTAGGAAACATTGTTATACCATTGGCACGCATTATGAATTCATAGGTTGGATGATGGCTACGATATGGGGCGTTTGTTCGTCTATCGGCGGCCTGCTTGAATATCTGGGCTACCTGTTTCTGCCATCTGATTATTTCAACAAGTTATCTGTTTTTTATTTGTTTTAATTTATAATTATGTCCATTAATTGCATAACTTATTCAGGCGCTTTTATGAAAAGCCTACGAACTTCCGCTTCACAAGTTACGAAAAAGTACTATAAAAGGCATCGTGGTGGTTGGCAATATGCGTTAAAGAGAATGAACATTAATCATATGTCAATTCCCGAGCTACTAAATTCTAACTGCCGATCACTAATCAACAAAGTGGACTATCTGCAATTCTTACTTAATCAAAATACGTTTCGTAATTGTGGTGTCATCACAGTTCAAGAATCTTGGTTGAATGACTTACAGGATGACTGCCTTGTATCACTACGTGATTTTAAAATTTATCGTCAAGATCGATCGAACAATTAAAAGAGGTGTGGTGGCGGTGTATCTACGTTTGTAAACATAAACTGGTGTCGATCTTCGTTTGTGTGTTTTAAGTTTTCAAATGACTTTATCGACTGTCTAACTCTAAGATGTCGTCCAAAACATCTGAATAAATACAAATATATTTATGTGACCAATATCTACGTGACTCCAGATTGCACATCATCTGCACTATCTGTTTTTGCTGATGAATTCACTGAGTTCGCTGTTACTGCCTTCAGTGATTCTTTTTCATTTGTATGTGGTTATTTCAATTCATGTGACTGTGGTGAATCTTTCGAGGTCATAATTAATATGGTTGTGGATAGACATTTAAAATCATGCAAACTCCTGGCAGGTGTCATTTTATCAGATACTAGCCATCCCCTTCACTCTTATCTTTCTCCTTGTATATCTTCTGGTAGAACGAGACGTAATTACATTAAAATCCATGCACGCAAGGAAAAGTACAGATGTTCTATAATACCTTACCTAGCAAATATACTCTGTGACGAACAGGTTGTTAGAGTTAATCTAGCCAATAACCTGCATTCTTAACATGACTTTAATTTTAAATGTTGTACTGTTTTGCAGATATTTTTTTTAAAACTTTTTTTGTCTTTGTTACTATTTTTGTTTGCATAAGTAACTTGTTGAAATACCCTGTGCTGAGAATTCTATATTGTACCAAAATATAATATTGAATAAAGCCATTAATAATAATAATAATAAATAAGCTGTTAGGCTGTTTTGATACTGCATTTGTGATGGACTGTTTTGTAGAACACTGAATGAAAGTTAAACACTAACCTGATGCACTTAACCAAAAGGCAAG